ATCCTTTTCTTCCATAATCTCAGAAAGCCTTGAAAACTGAGATGGTTGTTAGAGCCCATCTAGGCCATCTTTATCCACTCTTCAAATGAGGAAACTGAGGCCTAGAGGTGGGAAGTGGCTCACCTGTGGTCACACAGCACAGGCCAGGATCGGACTTCTCTGCCTCCCAGGCCAGTGCCCTGTGGTGATTCCACACTTTGAGTAATCCATAACTCAACTGTCAAATGAATGCAGGTGCCGTGCGTACCTTGGGCCGTGATTCCTCCTGGGAGTGAAGCAGATGATACCTGGGACCCTCGGATGGGGGCAGGAGTGGGGGAAACCAAACCAGAGCTTGATCCTTTTTCTCTCTGCACAGGACCAACCTCCCTACCACCTCAAGGGCTTCAATGTGCGCATCAGCTTCCCCCAGGAGTATCCGTTCAAGCCTCCCGCGATCAAATTCATAACCAAGATCTACCACCCCAACGTGGATGAGAACGGACAGGTTTGCCTGCCCATCATCAGCAACGAGAACTGGAAGCCTTGCACCAAGACTTGCCAAGGTGGGGCTGGGCTTTGCCTGGAGGAGGGACTGCTATTGGAGGAGGAGAGATTACTGGAGAGGGGGTTCACAGACTTACTCTGAGCTTGAAAAGCCCAAAAAAGAGGAGATAAAAACTGTGAGTCTTGTCTGAAACTACTGTGAGATAGAAGGGGTGCTTCCTGGACAGGCTGACCTCCTCCTGCCTCTGTTTCTATACCTGGGCAGTAGTGACAGAAGAACTTTGCCATGGTTCATAGGAGAGGCAGCTTGGCTGCACTGGGAAGGGCTCGGGATAAGAAAGCACCCTGTTCCCTCTGTGGACTTTGGGCAAGTTTTCGATCCTTTCTGGGACTCTGTGTCCTAAATGACAGTGGAGGGAACTGGTCTAATAATGATAACACCCGTCACTCAACTGAGCACTGTGTGAAGAGCCTCTCAGGCCGACTTCATTTGTATTTCCTCCACAACCCTGTGAGGTAGCGTTGTCATGTTTAATAGACCCGGACATTGAAGCATGTGAGAGGTGAAGTGGTTGCCTGAGCTCATACAGATGGCAAATGCCAGCACTTGGTGGCTCACTAGCCACGTGTGGCCGTTGCAATGGCGGAACTCAATTCTTTTTTTGAGTCAGAGTCTTGCTCTGTCACCCGGACTGGAATGCAGTGGTATAATCTCGGCTCACTGCAGCCTCTGTCTCCCGGGTTCAAGCAATTCTCCTACCTCAGCCTCCTGAGTAGCTGGCATTACAGGCATGTGCCACCATACCTTGCTAATTTTTGTATTTTTAGTAGATATGGGGTTTCGCCCTGTTGGCCAGGCTGGTCTCGAACTCCTGACCTTAGGCGATCTGCCCACCTCAGCCTCCCAAAGTGCTGGGATTATAGGCGTGAGCTACCACACCCAGGCAGAACTCAATTCTTAATTGTACTTAATTTTAATTCTTTTTTTTTTTTCTTTTGACCCAAAGTCCGTCTCTATTGCCCAGGCAGTTTAGTGGTGAGATCTTGGCTTACTGCAACCTCCACCTCCTGGGCTCGAGCCATCCTCCTGCCTCAGTCTTCCAAGTAACGGGGACTACAGGAGCATGCCACTATGCCTGGCTAATTTTGTATTTTTTGTAGAGACCACGTTTCGCCATGTGGCGCAGGCTGGTCTTGAACTTGTGAGTTCAAGCCATCCATCCGTCTTGGCCTCTCAAAGTGTTGGGATTACAGGTGTGAGCCACTGCTCCTGGCCTGATTTTAATTCATTTAAATTTAGATGCCCGTGTGTGGCTAGTGGCTGTCATATTGGACAATGCAGCTCTAGAGCCTGTGGCTGAATCAGTGGGCTATTCTCCATCTGGATTAGCTTAGGAGTTCTTATCTGGGGAAACAAAAGTCCTTAGGTTGGTGGGAGGGGGAGCAAGGAGGAGTGGTTCTTGGATGAGCTTCAGGAGGTCTGGGAAGCACTCTAAGTCAGCACTGTCTGTGTGGCATGTGAATGTGTGCGTCTGTCTAGGGAGATGGGCTGCTACCTTCACCAGGTTCCCAAAGGCATCTGTGAAAGATGAAGAGCCAAGGGCAGTGGTGGTTTTGTCTTCAGCCTTAGACCCCTTTTGCCCAAGTAAAAGTTTATTTGGACTCTCAATATACTGGAGGAAAACAGAGTGGTTTTTGTTGAAATGGGGATAAGACCCAGAAACCTCACTTATCTCAGTGGCCCCTGTAATGAGGAGCTTCTTTGAAGCTGTGGGATGTAGCTGTTTGAAAACCACTGATGTTTGGCTGGGTGCGGTGGCTCATGCCTATAATCCCAGCACTCTGGGATGCCGAGGTGGGCGGATCACGAGGTCAGGATTTGAGACCAGCCTGGCCAAGATGGTGAAACCGTGTCTCCAAAAAAAAAAAAAAAAAAAAACTTAGCTGGGTGCGGTGGCGCATGCCTGTTGTCCCAGTTACTCAGGAGGCTGAGACGGGAGAATTGCTTAGAGCCCGGGTGGCAGAGGTTGCAGTGAGTCGAGATCCTGTCACCGCACACCAGCCTGGGCAACAGAGAGAGACTTTGTCTCAAAAAAGAAAACCACTGGCCGGACACGGTGGCTCAAACCTGTAATCCCAGCACTTTGGGAGGCCGAGGCGGGTGGATCACGAGGTCAAGAGATCGAAACCATCCTGGTCAACACCGTGAAACCCCGTCTCTACTAAAAAAAAATACAAAAAATTAGCTGGGCATGGTGGTGCGTGCCTGTAATCCCAGCTACTCAGGAGGCTGAGGCAGGAGAATTGCCTGAACCCAGGAGGCGGAGGTTGCGGTGAGCCGAGATCGCGCCATTGCACTCCAGCCTGGGTAACAAGAGTGAAACTCTGTCTCAAAAAAAAAAAAAAAAAAAAAAAGAAAACCACTGATGTAATCAGTCAGGGCCTTGGGTGTCGACAACCAAGAGTGGGTGGGGCATTTGATCTGGTCATAGAGTCATCTTAAGCTATGGAACCTTTCCCCCAAGGAGTGGGTGTGGAGTGTCAGGGCACTGGGAATGGGCAGCCGTGACCCCCTTCCCTCTGCCCTGATGTCCTGATCTGGCCTGTCTCTCCCCAGTGCTGGAGGCCCTCAATGTGCTGGTGAATAGACCGAATATGGCAGAGCCCCTGCGGGTGGACCTCGCTGACCTGCTGACGCAGAATCCAGAGCTGTTCAGGAAGAATGCTGAAGAGTTCACCCTCCGATTCGGAGTGGACCGGCCCTCCTAACTCATGTTCTGACCCTCTGTGTACCGGAGCCTCTGTGTGGCAGACGGACACACCTCATAGACTGGGGCCAGAGCCCCTTGATGATCCATTGCCCCACTCATGTTTCCCTTCTTAGGTTGTTAGTCATTAGTTTGTGTGTGTGCGGTGGATGGAGGGGAGCTGTGAGTGTGTGTGTTGTGTGTGGACCCACTCTCGGGTTCGCCTTGCCACACCCTTCCCACACCCTTTGCATCCCCCAGAGCCAAGGGATTGAAGTTTGCAGAGTTATAGGCCAGTTCTCCACCTTAAAGAGACAGGTCACCCGGCGGCACACTTGCAGGAAACGAGCCCAGCCGCCCACTCAGATCCCCCTAGGGCTCAGGCTCGAGGGCCTGGCGACAGTGGCGTATATGGGTGGGAGGCACATGGAAGGTACCCTGTTTACAACTGAGTCAGCCAAGCCACTGATGGGAATGTACAGATGTAGGTGCTAAGCCTTTTATTTTCCACGGGTGAGTCACAGTAGGAAGAATCAAACCTCCATCCTGAAAATCTGATCGTACATTTCGAAACCACTTGCTGTCGTGTTTGGTTGCCAGTTCCTGGGACCAGGCCTCAGACTGTGAAGTGTGTGTCCTCCAGGATCCAGTCCAGGGGGAGCCATAGAAACCACATTCTTGCTTTAGCCATTAAAGTCAGAGATGAATTCGGGAGTGCAGCTGAGTCTGACGAGGGGATGGGGTGGTTTCATCAGGACCAGAGAGGACTGGGGATTTAAGCTGAAATTTCTCACCTTGCTTCCCTTGGATGTTCCCCAAACATCATAAGGAGGTTGGCCATGGAAAAATAGGCCATCCTTGGATAGAGGAGCTTTCAGAAGGTCCACAGGGATGACATCTCCATTTCCTTTCCTTCCTTCCTCCTGCCCTCCTTTCCTTCCTTCCTTTCTTTGTCTTTCTTCTTTCTCTCTCTCTTTCTTTCTTATTTTGAGACAGCATCTCACTCCATCACCCAGGCTGAAGTGCAGTGGCGCGATCTCTGCTCACTGCAACTTCTGCCTCCTGAGTTCAAGTGATTCTCCTGCCTCAATCTCTCGAGTGGCTGGGATTACAGACACCTGCCACCACGCCTGGCTAATTTTTGTATTTTTAGTAAAGACGGGGTTTCACCATATGGGCCAGGCTGGCCTTGACCTCCTGACCTCAGGTCATTCACCCGCCTCTGCCTCCCAAAGTTCTGGGATTACAGGGGTGAGCCACTGTGCCCGGCCAACATCTCCATTTTAAAGACGAGGCAATGGAGGAGGCCCAGAGCACTTCAGTGGATTGCTTGGATTCACTCTGCCAATGCACACCCCTGCAGGCGTGCCAGGGTTATGGCTGGGGTGTGTTTTGCATTTTGTTTTTCTTTTTTTCATGAGCTGCGTTCATCAGCACACATGCCCCAAATGGCTGATAAAGCCAAACTGGATAGTTAGCAGGAAATTGTCATCAGCCCAGGGGTTTGTAGCTCATGAGCAATGGAAAAATAAAAACAAGCCAAAGCTTCAGCCAGATAGAGGGATTAACTTAACCCAGACGAAGAACTTTCTGGTCACAATTGTTGTAAGCTCCTGGAATACTGCTGGCTTTTCAGAGACAGAAATATGGGGTGTCTTTGAGTTCAGAAAATTACCCAGATCCCACTGGTTTCTAGAGAATCTTCTCTAGCTCCTGCCCTGGAGTCCCCTAACCTGAGAAGAAGTGTAGAAAGGGGGAAAGATAGAGTCAAAATGTAAGTTTGTTTTTTATTTTTGGCGACCGATTATTGACCACTTGAGTGGCAGGACTGGGCAAAGGTTTTTGCCCATTTCATCATCTCATTTAACTCTTGCAACACCTTCATAAGGTTGGAACTCTCATTATTCCCTTTCAGACTGTTAACTGAGGCCCAGAGAGGTTAGCTGTATGTCCCAGTGTCACACAACTTGTTAGTGGTGGGACCCAGGCCATTGTCCTTTCCCAAACACCTTGCACAGTCGCTGAGATCTCAGCAGGTAAGGAAACCCCTATGGCAAGAGTTGATTATCCCAGAGTGCAGAGGTTCCTGGGCCAAGTATGGAGAGAGCACTGAGGGGCCAGACAGGGTTTTACAAAAGCACTTTTAATGCAGTTAAAATCAGCATCACACGTCCTTGCCTGAGCCCCTGGCTCTGGTACCTCCCTGGAGCAGAAGGGAGGCTCCAGGCCACGGCAGGTGAGCTAGGCGCGCTGCCCATCTCTGCCCACAGAGCCAGCCACCTCCTCATTTCTTCTTGGTCTTCACCAGTCCTTTCTGCACGAGGCTGCGGTACAGTTCCTGGATGTAGGTGTAGACACACTTGGAGTCGGGCACGGCCAACCGCACCATGTCATCCACGTCCAACAGCTGAGCACAGTCAGCCAGTTTCCTAAGGAATGGAGTGGGATGAGGAGCAGAGGTCAAAGGTGGAGGCAATGGGAGCCAAGGGGACGGGTGCGGGTAGCCCAGCAAGGATGAAGTCCATAGGATGGGCTAGGATGTTGGAGCTGGGAAATCAGCTAAGCCAACTGTCCCATTATGCAGATGAGATAACTGAGGCCCCAGCATAGTCAAGACAAACCCAGGCCAGGTGCTGTGTGGCTTCCTTTAGCTGTGATATAGGTAAGTCAGAGGATGTAGACAGGTAACCCCAGAGCCAACATCAATGAATTCTTCAATAATGAGTTTTAGGCCAGGCGCAGTGGCTCACATCTATAATCTCAGCACATAGGGAGGCCAAGGCGGGAGGATCCCCTGAGCTCAGTAATTCGAGACCAGCCTGGGCAACCTAGTGAGAACTTTTTGGAGAATGGGAGCTTCTAAAAAAATATAAAATAAAATAAAAATTAAAGACTCGAACCCAGCTGGGACTGATTCCAAAGCCACATTTTCATTGCACTTCTTGTCCTCACGTGGGAGCAGGACACTCTGGTCTCTAGTTCTGAATTAACCCACCACTTTCACATGCATGTGTATCTGTCCTCTGGAACCGGGGAGCTTCTGTTAGGCCAGGCCCCTCAAAAAGAACTTAAAGGGGCCGGACATGGTGGCTCACGCCTGTAATCCCAGCACTTTGGGACGCCAAGGCAGGTGGATCACCTGAGGTCAGGAGTTGGAAGCCAGGCTGGCCAACATGGTGACACCCTGTCTCTACTAAAAATACAAAAATTGGCTGGGCATGGTGGCGGGTGACTGTCCTCCCAGTTACTCAGGAGACTGAATCAGGGGACTCACTCAAACCCAGGAGGCAGAGGTTGCAGTGAGCTGAGATCACATCACTGCACTCCTGGGCGACAGAGTGAGACTCTTTCTCAAAAACAAACTAACAGGCAAAAAGAAAAAGGACAGAAACCAAATCCTAGCCAGAGTCCTGTCTTGCAGCTGCCGTATCTCCAGGAGCATCATTCATTCAGTCTCTGTGTATTGATCGGGAGCCTATTATGTGCCAGGCCCTCTTCTAGGCTCTGAGAATTTACCAGTGAATAAAACCAAAACTTCCCCACTCTCATGACATGGAAATTCTTGTGGCAGGAGAGAGTAATCAGCACACACAGTAGATGGTACATCAGATGGCGAGAGGTGCTAAGGAGGAAAATAAGGCAGGGAGGGAGACAGGACATGTTCTTACGTTGGAGGAGATCTGGCATTTTTATTTATTTTTTGTAGATGTATTTATTTATTTTTGAGATGGAGTCTTGCTCTGTTGCTCAGGTTGCAGTGCAGTGGCATGATGTCAGCTCACTGCAAACTCTGCCTCCCGGGTTCAAGCGATTCTCCTGCCTCAGCCTCCCAAGTCGCTGGGATTACAGGCATGTACCACCACGCCCGGCTAATTTTTGTACTTTTAGTAGAGACAGGGTTTCACCATGTTGGCCAGGCTGATCTTGAACTCCTGACCTCAGGTGATCCACCCACCTCAGCCTCCCAAAGTGCTGGGATTACAGGTGTGAGCCACCACGCTCGGCTGTGGTATTTTTTATAGGCTGTTCAGGGTAGGCCTCTTAAAGAGAGTAAGTCTAATGCACATCTGAGGAAAGGAAAGAGCTTGTGCAAAGGACCTGAGGCAGGAGGTTGGAGTTTCAGTAGCTGCTGGCACTTAGCAACAGGTCCTCTTTTTCTAACTTTGCAGCTGCCCTTTGGGGCTCTGTGACACTACAGGCTTTGCTGAGTTAATCAGTATTGGGGCCTCATGCCAACCTCCTGCTTTATCAGATGCTTCCCCTTGGACGTTCTCATAGACTCCTTCCCTCCATCCTCAGCCAGCAGAAGAGGAACTGGAGACTCAGAGTGTTTTTGGTGGCTTGGCCAAGGCCAAAGTGAGTGACGCAGCTGGGCCTCAACCCGGGGGCCTGATGCCTCTGGCATCCTTACTCTGGAGCTGGGTCTCAGCAGTCCCTGCCCACCAAAGCCAGCCATAGGTGCTGGCATAGGAGAAACCAGGGCCCCAGTGGAAATCCTCCTTTGGGGCTGAGACTGCCAAAATCCACGCCAGACTGGGAGCCGTGGGAAGAAGGACACACACTGGAGGACTTTGGGGAATTGGACAAGCTCCCTGCAGCCAAGGCAGTGCCCCACGGTTGTGGGTTAGGGTGCTGTCCTTCTGTATGGCAGAGGAAAAACCTTCATTCCCATTGAGCCTGGGGAGTGAGTGGGGAAGGGCCCCGCCACTGAGGGCTTTGGCATTGGCCACGCCCTGCCCTCACACCCGGACTCTGTGGGAATCTGAGGAGAGTTATGGAACGGGCAGTGGGGTGTGATGGCAGTGGCAGACACTCTGTCTTCTTCACACTTAATCTTCACAACAAGCCCTGTGATGTGAGGCTTCCAGAGAGGTTAGGTCAGCTGGAGAGGGTCACAGAGCCAGGGAGGAGGAGGCGGGGTTCAAACCCAGGCACCTCAGCTTCTATTCTCCTCCCTCGTTCTCCACACATCCCCATGGCCTCCTGGCCTTTCAGCTCCCTGATGCCTCCTGTTGGCCTGTCATTGTCATCTGATTTCTCCTCCCACCTTCCAGTGGCTCTGCCTGGCTTGGAACCAGAGTCCAAGCAGCTGCAGGAGGACAGTGGCTCACACCCTCCAGGCCAGGAGCACTTGATCAGGGCAGAGCTGCCTGCCCTCCTGATATTCACTTAGAGCTGTAAGTCCAGATGTCCAATTTCCCTTTCATTTTTTTATTTTTTTGAGATGGAGTTTCGCTCTTGTTACCCAGGCTGGAGTGCAATGGCGCCATCTCGGCTCACCGCAACCTCCGTCTCCTGGGTTCAGGCAATTCTCCTGCCTCAGCCTCCTGAGTAGCTGGGATTACAGGCACACGCCACCATGCCCAGCTAATTTTTTGTATTTTTAGTAGAGACGGGGTTTCACCATGTTGACCAGGATGGTCTCGATCTCTTGACCTTGTGATCCACCCGCCTTGGCCTCCCAAAGTGCTGGGATTACAGGCTTGAGCCACCGCGCCCGGCCTGGTCTAGATCTCTTGACCTCGCGATCCACCTGCCTCAGCCTCCCAAAGTGCTGGGATTACAGGCTTGAGCCACCACGCCCGGCCCCTCCCTTTCATTTTTTAAAATAATCACTTATTATTATTTTTTTTCGAGACAAGGTCTTGCTCTGTCACCCAAGCTGGAGTGTAGTGGCTCCATGACTCACCGCAGCCTTGACCTCCTGGGCCCAAGTGATCCTCCCATCTCAGCCTCCCTAGTAGCTGGGACCACAGGTACCCACCACCATGCCCAAATAATTTTTTGATTTTTTGTAGAGATGGGGGGGTCTCACTACGTTGCCCAGGCTGGTCTTGAACTCCTGGCCTCAAGTGATCCTCCTGGCTTGGCCTCCCAAAGTGCTGGGATTATAGGTGTGAGCCACTGCACTTGACCCAAGCAGAGATTCTTGTCTGTTTCACCCACTGGTGTATCCCCAGGGCCTGAAACAGTGCCTAGCCCTCTAAAAAAAAAGTGTCTGACCAGGTATAGTGGCTCACAACTGTAATCCCAACACTTTGGGGGCCAAGGCGAGTGGATCATGAGGTCAGGAGTTCAAGACCAGCCTGACCAACATGGTGCAACCCCATCTCTACTAAAAAAAATACAAAAATTAGCCAGGCATGGGGTCATGCACCTGTAATCCCAGCTACTCGGGAGGCTAAGTCAAGAGACTTTCCTGAACCTGGGAGGTGGGGGTTGCAGTCAGCTGAGATTGAGCCACTGCCCTCCAGCCTGGGCGGCAGAGGGAGTGTCTGTTGGATATATGAATGTGTGGCACCAGCATCAATGTAGTGGCCCCACTACTCAACCCCGTAAATCCAGTCCTTGCCTAAGCTCCCATCTGGCTTTGCCAGCCCATGGCTGTGGCTTACTCTGCCGTGGAGAAGGCCAGGGTGAAGTTGTGCCGGCGCTTCGTGGGGTCCAGCTCTGCATAGTCAAAGGCATCAGGGAAGAACTTGTGGATGAGGGCACAGAAGGCCATGCCGCTGCTCCAGCTGGAGGAGAAGTTCTGGATGTCCACGTGCTATGGCAGGCAGGGCACAGATGGGGCCTCAGTGAGCCTCAGCCAGACGGCCTAGACTTGGCCCCCTTCCCACTCTCCCACCCTTTGGGGTTTGCACCCCTCAGACCCTCCCTGGACCCCTGCCCCACCCATGCAGCTCTGTTCCATGCCCACCTCGTATTTTCTTGTCATGGCTCGGCACCACTCCAAGAGCATGTTCTTGACACCACCGATGGCTGCCCCAGCTGCCTTAGTGTTCCGGAACAGGGCTGTGGGGCCAGACGCTGCCCTGTGTGGGGGGAGGGGTGCAAGGCCAAGCCAGAGAGCAGGAGGCCATGAAGGGCCCCACTGGGAGAATCCCAGCCCGCAGATGTCTGTCCCCTGACCTGGGCTGTTCCACTGCCCCTGAGGCCACCCTCCCACCAACCCTCTGGGTTCCTACGGGAAAGCCCAGCCCAGCCCCTGGCCCACGTCCTACCCGCCAAACTTGTCCACTATGGCTTTGCGGTTCTGTGCCCGTAGCCCCCGGGGCCGAGCAGGGGCTGATACCCTGCGCTCTGGGGCCTTCTTCTCCCCTGACGGAGGGGACTCAGGGGGACTCTGGGGTGCATCGCTGGGTGAAGACTCACTGTATGGAGAAGTCCAGAGAAGCGTAAGAGAGGCTAGGACCAGCATTGCAGGACACAGGGAGGGGGCCGAGATGCTGGGGGGTGGGCACTGCTGTCTAAAGGGCTGTGTGCAGTTGTGGCACACATTTATTCTCTGCCCAGCACTGGGAGGGCATTGAAAAGGAAGAATGAATCTTAGTCTAACTTGGGGGAGCATATGCGCTGGTGAGGACATGTGGGCAGAGCTAAGACACTTCTGAGGTCTGACCCGAATTTGGATCCTGGCTTCGCTTCTTCCTACCTGACCTATGTAAGAAGGTGAATGTAAAGCACCCAGCTGTGCCTGCCACATGCAGTGATGCTCAGTGACTATTCACTGGTTATCTTTCCCTACGAAAGGGACAAGGAGGCAGATTTCCGTTCCATATAATGGAAGGTTCTTCTAATGACAAGTTGTGCAATGGCAAGCACAAGCCTATGATTTTATCTAGCACCTGCCATGGACTAGGCACTGGGCTAAAGAGCTTTGCACTTGTTACTCACTGAAGCCTCCCAGTAATCCTACGAGGGAGATACAATTGCTACTCCCACTTCGCAGATGAGAAGAGGTTCAGTGACATGGCCAAGGTCACACAGCTGATACCTGGCAGAACCACTGTCCAAACTCAGGCTTTCCGATCATGCTGTTATAGATGACCAGCACCACGGAAACATGAACAGTTGAAAGATAAGGAGCTCCTGTGAAGGGTTAGGGATGCTGAAGCGCAGACTTCAGCCACGGCATGGGAAGTGGACCAGGTATCCTTCCAGCTCCTTCCTGCCTCTGGGGTTTTTGTTTTTTGTTTTTTTTTGGAGACGGAGTTTCGATCTTGTTACCCAGGCTGGAGTGCAATGGCACGATCTCGGCTCACCACAACCTCCGCCTCCTGGGTTCAAGCCATTCTCCTGCCTCAGCCTCCCAAGTAGCTGGGATTATAGGCACACACCACCATGCCTGGCTAATTTTTGTATTTTTGGTAGAGTCGGGGTTTCAACATGTTGGCCAGGCTGGTCTCAAACTCCTGACCTCAGGTGATCCGCCCACCTCAGCCTCCCAAAGTGCTGGGATTACCGACGTGAGCCCCTGCTCCCAGCCATGCCTCTGGCTTCCTCGGTTTCCTGGGCTCTGCCTGGAATAGGATGCTGAATGCCAGTAACCCTGGAATATCTTGAAATCAGGTGCTGGGGGAGACCCAGACTGAGGCGATGGTGGATGCTGAGGGGAACAGGAGGTAGGGGGAGTTGGAGCTGGAGCCCCAGAGTTTGACATTACCTGGCTGAAGGACTGGTCTTTCCAGAAGCTACGGAGTCTGGACCCAACACATCTGGAGGAAAGGGAAAGGAGGGAGGGAAGCTGGGGCTATCCAGGACATGCTCTTCCCGCCCCTCCCCCAGGTGGCCGCTGCAGCATTCTGTGGGCTTTGGGCTCTCACTCACCTGTGCTGAGGGCATGCCCCTCCCCCGTGGGGCTCTCAGGCCACTCCTCGGGGGAGCTGGGAGTCACCCCTGCCCCTTCCTCGGGCCCTGTTTCCACATCCTGCTCCTGCTCTTCGCTGGGACTGCCTGGCTCCTGGAATGAGCACGATCTGTGTGGGCTCACAGTCACACAGCACCTGCCCTGGCTTTATGAGGACTTTAGAAAGATCTGAAAGGCAGCCTGGGATTACAGTGCTACACCCCTTGCCCCCCTCTCCCACCCCAGGCTCAGGAAATCAGCAGGAAGAAGCCTGGACTTTCCCAACTGACTGAAGCAGAGGGGGCTTGCTTCCAGAGCAGGAGATGCCACAGCCTCCTTGCCCTGTTCCTGCCTCACTCACGGCCTCCTCCGCCTCCTCTTTTGCATCAGCCTCCGCCTTTGCATCAGCCTCCTCTTTTGCATCAGCCTCCTCTTTTGCATCAGCCTCCGCCTTTGCATCAGCCTCCTCTTTTGCATCAGCCTCCTCTTTTGCATCAGCCTCCGCCTTTGTATCAGCCTCCACCTTGGCATCAGCCTCCTCTTTTGCATCATGTTTGGCTTCCTCTTTCCCACTGGGCTCCTTGGGTCCAGGCTTAGCCTCATCCTCCGCCACGGCCGCCTTCTGTGGTTCCGCCCTGGCCTCTTTGTCTGCAGCCTCCTCCTTTGTCTGCAGAGGTTCAGTGCTGCGCTCCTCCCTCTGGCCTCTCTCCTCCTGAGAGGCTGTCTTGGCCTCCTCCTCCCCAACAGTCGCCTTAGGTTCAGGCTTGTCTCTGTCGTTGGCATCGGCTTTCTCCTTAGATTCCGGCCTGGCCTCTTTCTCCTCAGCCTTCTGCTTCTCGGAGGAGGCCAGCGTGCTCTCCTCCTTTTCCTCAGCCTCCTTGGGTTCAGATTTGGTCTCTTCTTTCCTGCCAGTCATCTTCTGAGAAGTTGTGGTGGCCTGTTCCTTCTCACCATCCTCCTTTTTAAGTTCAGCCTTAGCGTCCTCTTTCCCACCAGCCTCCCTCCGAGATTCCACCTTGACCTCATCTAATCCATTCGCTTCCCCCTGGAGTTCCGCTGATGTGTCGTCCTCGGCTGGTGCCTTTTCCTGCTTTCCTGCCTCGGCGGGAGGCCCCTCATGGATGACCTTTCCAGCTGCGCCTTTCGTCTCCTCTGCCGGGTCTCTGCCTCCTGACATCTCAGGGTTGTCTGCACCTGGGGAGACGATGGTCCCATCCTCAGAGGGCTTCCCTTCCTTCTGCTCCATCTCTGGAAAGAGAAGACAAGCAAACCACTCATGCCCATCTCAGGATGAGGTGAAGACCCCACCCTCAGAGAGCTCTGGCCTGGGAGTCAGGAGGTCCGTGGTTCAGTCTTGGCTCCTACTTGGACATGGGACCCAAGGAGGAAGGAGAGAGAACCGCTTCCCTAAAGCTGGGTTGGCTGGGCAACATTGACATGATATTGGATGGTGTTCACCCCACACCTCTCTATAGGTTCTGGCTTCGGCTTTAAAGAACATTGAATCACATAATGCCTTTTCCATCATGTTGCCTCTTTTTGATTAACCCAGTGAAGTGGTCACAATGTTATTGTATTATTTATTTATTTATTGAGACAAGGTCTTGCTCTGTTGCCCAGGCTGGAGTACAGTGGCATGATCTCGCCTCACTGCAACCTCTGCCTCCTGGGGTCAAGTGATCCTCCAACCTCAGCCTCCTGAATAGCTGAGACTACAGGTGCTCACCACCACACCTGGCTAATTTTTGTATTTTTTGTAGAGACGGGGTTTTGCCATGTTGCCCAGGCTGGTCTCGAACTCCTGAGCTCAAGCGATCTGCCCGCCTCAGCCTCCCAAAGTGTGCTGGGATTACAGGCATGAGCAGTGCCTGGTCACAATTTTATACTGGCATCCTAGAACACCTATGGAACAATTGTTACTTCCCCCTGAGAGCCTAGGCAAGCAGAAGTATCTAGATGGAATTGATTAACACTGGTTTCCATTGTATCTATTTTTATACAGTTACTTTCTATTTCTGGCAAATGATATTAAGTTTCTATTTCTAGCAGTGATACAGTGTCTTTTAAAAATACATTTACTGAATTTAAAAATAAGTTGATTCAAAGGAAGTCATTCAGGAAACTGGAATATAGGTGGTGCAGATATAGCAAAGTCATAGAGGTGGTGTATAAAAACGGCCCCTGGGCCAGCTGGCATCTGGAGCTTTGCCAGCTCTGCCAGCCTGTGGTTCTTGGAAAAGGTGGGCCTGGGCAAGGAAGCATTTCCTTGAGTGAAGAATAGAACCATACTCTCCCTGGCATCTGCTGGGCAATCTGACCCTCTGACTGTTCCCTGAGAGCATGGGAGAGATTATGACATCTTAACTTGGAGTTTCCTATCTAAGTACTGTATATACTGGAGGATCTAAAAAACAGGTGTGTGGGGGCACCGGGTTAGCGCCTTCATCCCCCTGGCGTTCTTGGGGGTGTAGTTACAAAGAAAACAATCCCCAAATAGGGCTCAGGGCATGACTCAGGCAGTAAGAAAAGTGGACACTCCTGTCACGCACTAAAAATACCCCCTGCCGTTGGCAGTACCATCTTTCTCAGTCATAGTACCGAGGGCATCTGGGTAATTGGGCAGAGGACAGGAGGCAGGAAGACAGGGGCAGGGCTCTGCTCCGACTACCCACTCAGGTCTTACCCAGAGTCCTGGGGTTCCTGAATTCGATGCCCTCACCATCTCCTAAAAGTAGGCTGGGATTTGTCAAGATGCTCACACTGTCCCCCGATTCCCTCTAGAGCCCTTTCCTGGTTCAGTGGCTCCAGCAATGCCTTAAAGTAAGAGGGAAGATGAACCCAGGAGATGGACACACATCAGCTGAGATGCCGGGGAGACGCGAAGTTGTGGGGCTGGCTGTGACCTACATCTTCCAGTCTCCACTGAGACCTGAGCAAGTCCTTTGCCCTCTCTGGGTCTCAGTGTCCACTAGCAGTGATGGTGTTCATCTGGGTCAGGTTCTCCCCACTGTGTTCTGTGGAAAACTAGGGTCTCCCATGACACAGAACGGGTTTTCTGTGGGGTTGGGAGGAAGAATCTTCTCTAGCTAAGGCTGCTCTTTTTTTTCTGAGATGAAGTCTTGCTCTGTCGCTCAGGACAGAGTGCAGTGGCACGAGCTCTGCTCACTGCAACCTCCACCTCCCAGGTCCAAGCGATTCTCCCGCCTCAGCCTCCCAAGTAGCTGGGATTACAGGAGGATGCCACCATACCTAGCTAATTTATATATATATGTGTGTATATATATATATATATATTTTTTTTTTTTTTAGTAGAGATGGGGTTTTACCATGTTGGCCAGGCTAGTCTTGAACTCCTGACCTCAGGTGATCCACCCACCTCAGCTTCCCAAAGTGCTGGGATTACAGGTGTAAGCCATCATGCCTGGCCTTTTTTTTGTTTTGTTTTTCTTTTGAGACAGAGTCTCACTCTTGCCAGGCTGCAGTGCAGTGGTACAATCTTGGCTCAATGCAACCTCCGATTTCCTGGTTCAAGCGATTCTCCTGACTCAGCCTCCAGAATAGCTGGGATTACAGGCATGCACTACCACACCCAGCTGATTTTTGTAGTTTTAGTAGAGATGAGTTTTCACCATGTTGGCCAGGATGGTCTCAATCTCCTGGCCTCGTGATCTGCCCGCCTCGGCCTCCCAAAGTACTGGGATTACAGGTGTCAGTCACCTTGCCTGGCCAAAAGAGTCTACTCTTTACCCTCTTAGAGATATACAATTTCAGCCAGGTGCAGTGACTCACGCCTGTAATTTAGCATTTTGGGAAGCCAAGGTAGGAGGATTGCTTGAGTCCAAGAGTTCAACACCAGCCTGGGCAACATAATGAAATTGTCTCTACAGTAAAGAAAATAAAATTAAAAAATAAAATGGATATACAACTTTAATAGCATTTAAGTAGATTTTAGATGCCAGATAGTTAAGAAACCGTAACTTCACTTAAATTAATTTCATTTAACTCACTTTTCTCCAAACCTATTTGACCATGAGTTTTCTTTTTCTGCTTTTTTTTTTCTTTTTTTTTGCTTTGTTTTTCCTGAGGAGCATCCATCACTCTCTTAAGCAGCACCATGTTCAGCAGAAGAAAGCATGGCAAATGCTGGACTAACATGACCCCTTCCCCTCCTGCTCTCCGCTCTTGTTTGGAAGGTGACATGGACTAGTGCTGAAAATCGTTGATTCTGATGTCTTCCTGTGATGGGATCCCTGCTCCCATGAGTTTCTAATTGTGTAACGTTGAGCAGCCTATCTGTCCTCTCTGTGTTTTGATTTCGGCAGTTAACAATAGGTCCTATCCCATAGGGATGGTGGAGGATTAATGAAGCGCATGCTTAGAAAATATTTGGAGCCAGGTGTGGTGGTACATGCCTGTGGTCCCAACTACTCGGGAGGCTGAGGCAGGAGGATCACTTGAGGCCAGGAGGTCAAGCCTGCAGTGCACTATAAATGATGCCTATGAATAGTCACTACACTCCAGCCTGGGCAACAAAGTGAGACCCCACCTCTTAAAAAAAAAAATGAAACAGGATTCAGAGGTGTGCTTTGCATGAATGAGTACTCAGCACTCATCAGCTCACATGGTGTGGGTTGGCTATGCCCAGCCCTGTGCCAGGGCAAGATCCTGACCTAGCCTCGAGGGCATTTATTAGTGAGACAAGACAGAGAGAACTGAATGCCAGTAGGATGATAACAAGCCCTTTTTATACCTCAAAGTGTGACACTATTTGGCTAAGACATAGCTGAGTGCTCCAGTCATCTTTTCTTTTAAGAGACAGGGTCTCACTCTGTTGCCCAGGCTGGAGTGCAGTTGTTCAATCATAGCTCACTGTGACCTCCACCTCCTGGACCCAAGCGATCCTCCCACCTCAGCCTCCCAAGGAGCTGTGACCCTAGTTGTGTGCTACCATACCTGGCTAGTTTTTTCTTTTTTATTTTTTATAGAGATGGGGTCTTACTATGTTTCCCAGGCTGGTCTCAAACTCTTGGCCTCAAGTGATCCTTCTACCTTGGCCTCCTGAAGTGCTGGGTTTATAGGCAGGAGCCACTGAGGCTGGCCTCTCTAACCATCTTTCCTTCTGTCTACATGCTACATACTTAGGGTGGTGGAGGGGAAGGGTAGATGCACACACACACGCGCACACACACACGCACACACACACACGCGCACACACACCCTTCAGCTATCCTGCATGTTCATCACCTCGGCTTTCCACCCTCCAGGCTTGTCACAAATAGGAAAGGAGTGAAGATGCTCAGAAATGCTGAGAAACCAGAACGCCACCCCCCACCCCCAGCATTCACAGCCCTACAGCCGTTGACAGCTTACACTGCAGGGCCCTGCTTTCTCTCAATGGCTTCTAGCTCTGACCCTTCAGAATTGGTTATTGGCCCCATTAGGGAGACAGTAGGAATCTGAGGCTCAGGGAGTTGACATCCCTTGACAAAAGTCACAGGACAAATAACCTAGCCCTTTCTAGAATCCAAGAGTCCCGACTCCCACTCCACAACTCACACCAAATACATGCTCCCACTAGCTCCTCGGCCCAGTGTCCCTCCAAAGGCCCCGGCCCAGAGTGCGGGCACCCCACGAGTTGAAAAGGGCAGTCAGGTTCAGCTGAGGAGTTCCTCTCTCTTTCTTCTGGGTGCACAGTAGGTCCTTCATGAACGTTTCTCCACCCCCACCTTCCTTTCTTACTCTCTACTTTCCTTCCTCCTTCCTTCCCCAGGAAGCCTCCACACTATCCCTGTCAATGTGTCCAAAGCAGCACTGCAGATAACTCCCCTCCCTCTGTCTTCCTGTTTCTTTTTTTTGAGACAGAGTTTCACTCTTGTCACCCAGGCTGGAGTGCAATGGCGCGATCTCAGCTCACCATAACCTCCACCTCCTGGGTTCAAGTGATTCTCCTGCCTCAGCCTCGCTAGTAGCTGGGATTACAGGCATGTGCCACCATGCCCGACTAATTTTGTATTTTTGGTAGAGACGGGGTTTCACCATGTTGGCCAGGCTGGACTCGAACTCCTGACCTCAGATGATCCTCCTGCCTCGGCCTCCCAAAGTGCTGGGATTACAGGCGTGAGCCACCGCGCCTGGTAGACCAGGATGAAAGGGACACGGGAGCCGAAGTTCCAAACCCCTAGAAGTATAAACGCTGGATGTTCTGTGATGCATCCACCACCCACTGCAGCCTCATCTGTCATTCGTTTGTCCTAAGGCTTCCACCTTCCCCACCCAGCCAGAGGCCCTCCCTTGGAGAGGCTGATCTCAGGGGTGTCCAATCTTTTAGCTTCCCTAGGCCATTCTGGTAGAAGTAGAATTGTCTTGGGCCACATGTAAAATATATTAACACTAACAATAGCTGATGAGCTAAAACAAAAATTGCAAAAAGAAAAAAATCTCATAATGTTTTAAGAAAGTTTATGAATTCATGTTGGGCCACATTCAAAACCATCCTGGGCCACAGGCAGCCCGTGCGCTGGACAGGCTTGGCTTAGACAGTCTGCCCCAACCCAGCTTGACTCTTGAGACTCCCAAGGTCCCCTCCCCTGCTCTGAGGTCTCCTCTTGGATGGCCACCTGCAGGCTGCTCTGTAGGTGATCTCGAGGTTGCCCAGCTCCCCAGGGTTGAGAACCCTGGCATCTAACAAGAGTAGACATCGCGGTGGAGAGAATTAGAAAGGGGCCTGAATTTCTCCAACTGGGGAGCCCTCCTGGGAGGCTCTGGCCCTTGAAAAGTGGGAGGGAGAATTGGCAGATGGAGAGGGACCCTTAGAAAGGGGCCCAGGGCTTCTCCTACCTGTGGGGCTTCTGCCTGTGGCTCGGAAGCTGTCTCTTTCCTCCAGCTGAGCAGCCTCACTCCAGGCTGCCTTTAAGCCCCGTGGCCTCTAGCCCCCAGCTCTTTGGTCCCGCCTCCCCCCTTCCTCTCCCTCTTCCACCCCACCCCACCCTACCCCCACTTCAAGAGGCTTGGGCTGCCTGAAGAGCATTGTTTACTGCCCTGTTGGTACAACACTTTCCCCTAGACTGGGAGGCTCGGATTTCCCGTGGAAGATCTGACAGGTGGCACCTTTCAATCACGGCATGTCCCTCCCGCCCTGAGCCTGGCAGCATCCGTCCCGTGGTCACCTTTCTTCTCAATGGACTCTCCTAACCCTAGAGACCTTAACAGCCATCTTCAGGACCCACGTGGAGCATGGCCCTGGCCTCCGCTGCTCATCCAGAGCCCAGGCGAGGCCTCCCGGGTTCCTTCACGCCCACACCGCCAGGTTCCTTACATAGTCCCTTTCCCTCGTCCTGAGACAAAAGCAGTTGCTTAAGGCTGGGCTAAGGAGGGGCTGAGTGGGGCAGCTGCCGACACAGGGGATGTGTCTCAGGGCTCACGGTGGACAAGGAGATTTGGAGGGGGAGGGGCAGAGAGGGCAAAAGTGATGGGGCAAGCTGACAGATCACTAGACAGAGTCTGCAAAATACAAAACTCCTGAGTTCTATTATGAGCTGAAGTGGCAGGTACACAGTAGGCCCTGAACACATGTTTATACTGAACTGACATTTTGCAAAGAAAAAACAAAACAAGCCCAGGCGTGGTGGCTCATGCCTATAATCCTAGCACTTTGGGAGTCCGAGGTGGGTGGATGACTTGAGACCAGGGGTTCGAGACCAGCCTGGCCAACACAGCGAAACCCCGTCTCTACTAAAAATACAAAAATTAGCTGGGAGTGGTGGCGCACACCTGTAATCCCAGCTACTCGGGAGGCTGAGGCAGAAGAATCACTTGAACCCAGATGGAGGAGGTTACAGTGAGCCGAGATTGTGCCAGTGTACTCCAGCCAGGGCAACAGAGCAAGACTCCTTCTCAAGAAACAAAACAAATCAAAACAAAAAACCAGGTCTTCACTTTCTCTGTGTGTTTTATGATCTA